AATTTGATCGCGTTCATCTCGTTTGCTTATCGAACGAATCGAACACGACCTCATTGTTGAACCAAACACGAAGTGCTTGCGAATAACGAGCTTTTGTTACAGCCCTACCTACAATTCATAGAGAAATATTATATTTCTTTAGAATATTAGCCTTTAAAAATCTTAAAGAAATATTATAATTTCACTTAGCTTGTCATTAATTTTTTCATGCAAATAAATTAAATGTACGTTTATTTGCTTATTTTCAACTCAAATTAAATATTATTAATATTATTATTATTATTATTATTAGTAATTAGTGAATATAATTTTAAATTATTTTGTCATTTACTAGGATTTAAAATTAATTAACTAGTTAAATACAAAAATTAAAAATAATTTTATCTTTTATTATTAATTAAAGATAATTAAATTCATTCAAACGTCCAGAAAATATATAGCTTTTTAAAATTTAAACTTGAGCAAAAAAAATAAAATAAAATTAGAAAAATGCTCATTTAACTGATTTGTCTCAGGGAATGTGGCCTATCTGTAAAAATTGAAGATTAGGTGCTGCATATGTAAATACATTAGAATTAAGTGTTATGTATGTAAATGTTACATTAATCATGTGTTTTATACTTTTGTTTATCATTATTTTATTCTAATGAATTCATAATAAATAGAGTAAGTAACGACGTGGCCTGACTCAGCCCGTCGTAGAGTATTATCACATCATTTTACATAGCAAAAGAGCAAAAAAAAAAAAAAAAAAAAAAAAAAAAGATCATTGGATCGATCATTGGATCGTTCAACTTTTAGGGTTTAGATATAAAAGATTATTAATTTATATTAATGTATAGTTGGATGACAACCACTTCATCTCAACCATAGATATAGGACAACCTGATTTCATGTAACATAATACATTCACTCGATATCTTTTTCTCCTTTTGTGCCTTTTTCCCCTTTCATTACGACAATTCTTAACATTTTCATTCTTTCTTATATTGCTTCTCTCTTGTATGCTCTGTATTAGGTCTACATCAACTTCTCCATAGTCTTCTTCAAAGATAACATACTAGAGTTTTTTTTAAATCCTTAAACCTTACATTACAACTAACAATGTGTTTAGCGCCGCGGTGCGACATCATACTGCAGTTTTTTCTATCAAAAACTACGTTTTGCTTGCGTCCTCAAAATACTGCAGCAAAAAGTTACATTTTCTCAACAGATTTGATCATCTACGGTGACTGCTATAAAACTACGGTCTGACTTATTTTAAAAAAAGGAATTTTAATTGTCACTGCAATTTTTGAATAACAACTCGTCTTCAGCAACTTCAAAACCACATATTCAAACAGTTACAATTGCTCCAAACTGACCCTAAATCTCAATATTATCTCCTAATTGGTTTTGAAAGTAGACAAGTTGTCTGGTATCATAGAGCCAACTTAGAGAATAAGAACAAAGGATTCATAGTTAAGGAAGGGAATCACAAGCCACACTTAGAAATTTAGCCTCTTTGCCTCCATTTCATGAAAAAAATCAACATCCTTTACTTCTCTCACAAAAACCTTTTTGAATGTTAAGTTCTCTAACGGTCAATTTCTCCAATGCATTACCAACATTGCAATATCTACTTTGATCAATAAATTAAGTATTTGCATATCTAACACGTAAAACTTGTTATTTACATTTATAGAACTTTGATGTCATACTTATGCAAAGAAATTTGCATAATAGTAGCATTTTGATGTTATATTAAGGATTTAATTGTCATATATATAAATATGAAATTTCAAATACATAAGAATTTATACATATAAATTATTGCCATATGTATTTAAGTGCCACACCTTATAAATTATTATGTCATGTATATCTAAGTGCGACGTGCATTTACATACATATCACCCAATTCCAATGTATTTCCATATCTAACACAGAAATTTTACTTTTTACATTTATACCATCTATATTTTTCATAGCACATGAAAAATAACATTTTCTTTTTATTGTAAGAATGAAAATACAATTTTTTGATGTAAATATGAAGGAATTGAGTGGTATGTATGCAAATCTTCCTTAATAGAATGAAAAATAGTGGGGATGGCTTAGGGTGCATTTGGGGTAGCTTAGTAGCTGCCACGCGGTAGGAAAACACAGGCAGCTGTGTTTGGAATTTGGGATGTGGGTGTGTTTTGGGATAATCCTTTCTAAACACTGGCTGTCGATTCAATCATGCAACCCGCATTTTCTTCATGATGATTATCTTGCGTGCCGCTACACGCTTCTCTTACATCTTTGCCCTAGCGATCTTCTCCTCTCTTGCTTCTCTCCGTTCTCGGACTCTGATGGCATAAACTCTTATCTCCTTTTTTGCTCTCCCAGGCCTATAGTAGCTCTGGTGGCATTTTCCCATCTCCTCCGATGATATTCTTTACCCTATACATTTACTCTTATTTGCTCCCTGCGGTCTGAGATTTGCCCTGTGTGGCTTGCTCTTCGCGATTTTTTACTTTCCACTATGTTGCAAGGATTCAATTTGAGTTGGTGCTGAGCGTGGTTGTTAATGATGTAGTGGTGGCGTTGTTCGTGCGTTGGTGTTGATGTTTGTGTGTTGGTGGTAGTGTGCTAATTTATTTCATATGTTTGTTTTTTAGCACCTTTTCTAGGTGGTTTTCTAAATGAGACCTTCTATTTTTTGTGCCACACATTAATGTCTTGATTATTTTAATATTAGTACAGGGACAAAAATGTCATTTTATCATAAACAACCATCTAAAAATGCACAAAACAAACAAACACACAACTTTTCTATAGTAGCTTCTGCGTAGTAGCTGCCCCAAATAAACTCTTAGAACGTGTGAAAATTATTGTGTGTGAATAAGGCATGCGGATTAGGCACGGATCAATAGTATTATGATGGTATTAAGGTGTAATACTATCCTAACATCATGATCTACACACACACAGTGTAGGCAATATTCGCTCGAGCTTCATCTTTAGGAGATAGACTATAATTAGGCTCAGTGTGGGAGGCGCCAAGATAATAAAATATAAAATGATATTGTCACTGTAAATTTTGAATAACAGATTATTTTTCATCAACTTCATAACTGTATATTGAAACAGTTACAACTGCTCCAAACTGACCATAAATCTCAATATTATCTCCTAATTGGTTTTGAAAGTAGACAAGTTGTCTGGTATCATAGAGCCAACTTAGAGAATAAGAACAAAGGATTCATAGTTAAGGAAGGGAATCACAAGCCACACTTAGAAATTTAGCCTCTTTGCCTCCATTTCATGAAAAAAATCAACATCCATTACTTCTCTCACAAAAAACTTTTTGAATGTTAAGTTCTCTAACGGTCGATTTCTCCAATGCATTACCAAAAATCCCTCTACCACAACATTGCAACATCTACTTTAATCAATAAATTAAGTATTTGCATATCTAACACATAAAACTTGTTATTTACATTTATAGAACTTTGATGTCATATTCATGCAAAGAAATTTGCATAATAGTAGCATTTTGATGTTATATTAAGGATTTAATTGTCATATATATAAATATGAAATTTCAAATACATAAGAATTTATACATATAAATTATTGCCATATGTATTTAAGTGCCACACCTTATAAATTATTATGTCATGTATATCTAAGTGCGACGTGCATTTACATACATATCACCCAATTCCAATGTATTTCCATATCTAACACAGAAATTTTACTTTTTACATTTATACCATCTATATTTTTCATAGCACATGAAAAATAACATTTTCTTTTTATTGTAAGAATGAAAATACAATTTTTTGATGTAAATATGAAGGAATTGAGTGGTATGTATGCAAATCTTCCTTAATAGAATGAAAAATAGTGGGGATGGCTTAGGGTGCATTTGGGGTAGCTTAGTAGCTGCCACGCGGTAGGAAAACACAGGCAGCTGTGTTTGGAATTTGGGATGTGGGTGTGTTTTGGGATAATCCTTTCTAAACACTGGCTGTCGATTCAATCATGCAACCCGCATTTTCTTCATGATGATTATCTTGCGTGCCGCTGCACGCTTCTCTTACATCTTTGCCCTAGCGACCTTCTCCTCTCTTGCTTCTCTCCATTCTCGGACTCTGATGGCATAAACTCTTATCTCCTTTTTTGCTCTCCCAGGCCTATAGTAGCTCTGGTGGCATTTTCCCATCTCCTCCGATGATATTCTTTACCCTATACATTTACTCTTATTTGCTCCCTGCGGTCTGAGATTTGCCCTGTGTGGCTTGCTCTTCGCGATTTTTTACTTTCCACTATGTTGCAAGGATTCAATTTGAGTTGGTGCTGAGCGTGGTTGTTAATGATGTAGTGGTGGCGTTGTTCGTGCGTTGGTGTTGATGTTTGTGTGTTGGTGGTAGTGTGCTAATTTATTTCATATGTTTGTTTTTTAGCACCTTTTCTAGGTGGTTTTCTAAATGAGACCTTCTATTTTTTGTGCCACACATTAATGTCTTGATTATTTTAATATTAGTACAGGGACAAAAATGTCATTTTATCATAAACAACCATCTAAAAATGCACAAAACAAACGAACACACTACTTTTCTATAGTAGCTTCTGCGTAGTAGCTGTCCCAAATAAACTCTTAGAACGTGTGAAAATTATTGCGTGTGAATGAGACATGCGGATTAGGTACGGATCGATAGTATTATGATGGCATTAAGGTGTAATACTATCCTAATATCATGATCTGCACACACACACTGTAGGCAATATTCGCTCGAGCTTCGTCTTGAGGAGATAGACTATTATTAGACTCAATGTGGGAGGCGCCAAGATAATAAAATATAAAATGATATTCATGAGGGGGATTAAATTCTCATACAAATAAAAATCTAATGTGTACGAAGGTGAATATTCCTCGTGTTACTGCGCCGTTTTTTTCTGCGTCGCGCGGATTCCTCGTGTTATTCAAGTGTTCTAAGTGAGTGCTGATGTAATATTTTTTCCTTCTTCCCTCTTCCGCGTTCTCAGGCTCCGCTTCTTCCTCACTCCCGTCTGTCTTGCTGGTGCAAATCAAGGATGAACGAGCTCCTAGTTAAGGTCGCACAGGCCGTTCACGTGCTGAATCACGATGCACAGTCCTCTAACCGCGTAGCTGCAAATCAATGGCTTGTCCAGTTCCAGAAGACTGAAGCCGCATGGGAGATCGCCACCTCCCTTCTCACCTCATCCAGCGATCCCATAATATCCTCCAACTTCGAGGTCGAATTTTTCGCTGCACAAATCCTCCGCCGTAAGGTACATGATCCTGCTCCGAGACTCCATTTTTTGCTCTTCTATTCGGCTAGTCACTCTCCCTGTTCCCCGATTTCGTTTCGTTGTCATGAACAGATCCAGAAGGAGGGCTACCACCTCCAGCTCGGTGCCAAAGGTTCTTTGCTCAATTCCCTTCTCCTCGCTGCCCGCAGATTCAGCTTGGGTCCGCCACAGGTCTTTCCTCTCTTTCAGTCTCACATACACACAGAGTAAGGATACTCATGGTTTCGTTTGACGCTGCTTGATCGTTGTTTTTTTTTTTTTCTTTCCGGCATCATCGCAGCTTCTAACTCAGATATGCCTCGCGCTCTCTGCACTCGTTTTACGAGCGGTGGAGCACAAGATGCCTATCGAGCAGTTCTTTTCCAGCTTGAACAAGTTGCAGAGCCAGGAAAACGGCAATACTGCTGTTCTGGAGATGCTTACTGTACTTCCAGAAGAAGTTGTTGAGGACAAAAGTGGAGATTGCAGGATTGATGCGAGGAGCCGATGCCAATTCACTAGAGAGGTTTACTAATAAAACCTCGTTTGTACATGCTCAGCTACATGAATATATGGCCTCAGCTGATTGAATTATTTCTGTTTGTGATTGGATGCAGCTTTTGTCGCACACTCCCAACGTGCTGGAATTTCTTTTGCTTCAGTCTGAACAGAGCCTGGAGAACGGTCTTCGGCTTGAAGAGAAGAACAAGAAGATATTGCGATGCTTGTTGAGCTGGGTGAGTCTGGAGCTTTGCTTGTTGGGAGTGCTTATGGTGGATAAGTTTGAGAATGCATTGCCCTCACGACTGGCCGTTAGAATTGTCTTGAGTCCAGGTTAGCCATCAAAATGTGTCTAATAGGAAATATTTAAGTCTGGAAATATTGCAGAAATGCAGATGGGTTTGAGCGATAATTCAATAGACATATATGACTTGCCAGGCTTTTGCTAAGTTAGTGTCTGAGAAGGGGTTACTATTGTAGTCTTATTTACATTTACATTATAGTGAGGCTATGTCTATTCTTCAAACTCAGTGTATGTAACGGCTCATTTCAGTTTGGGGAGACAAAAGGAAAAACGAAAGAAGAGAAGGCAAATGGATGGAAGAGGAAATGAAGAAGTGAGGAAGACGAAGTGAAAGCTCGGGCAGTCGAACAGAGTGACAAGAAATGAGAGGTCGGAAGTTTGGGAGGTGATTTTACCTATGTAAATTGACTTACCAGCGGGTTCAACAACGTGCGAATGAGAGGAGGACGGCGTGAGGGTAGGGTAGAGGTGGTGTTTGTGTCGAATGGAGAAGGAAGCGTCGAACGGCCAGCGTATGAGAGCTTGTGTGAAGGAGGAAAATGAGCAGCACACGCACGCAGAGAAGCTATACTGTGCAGAAGAGGTGGAATCACGAGTCTTCCTCTATGAAGGAGAAGTGGGGAAGGAGAAGAGCAGCATTGTGCACACTTTGTTGGGGTGAGGCACTTGAAGGACAAGGGGCTCGACTTGTTTAAGAGGAGAAGAAGAGCGTGAAAGGGTCGTGCGTGCATTAGGTAGGGATCATAACAAAGATATGATGTATTAAATGAATTTAATATTAAAACATTTAAATAATAATAATGATAATATTATATATATATATATATATATATATATAATTCTTTTATTTCACATCAAAAATATCACTTTTAGAACATATATATATATATATATACTGTAATAGAAAGTAAATCAGATTAGATAAAGAAAATTTAATACTTAATTAAATGGTTTATTAAAATAATAAATTAATTAAATATCATGTTATGTTAGGTTTCAAACTTAGAAGAGGTGGCGTCAATGCAATTTCAAACATAAATTAATTTTCATCAAGGTGAGTGCTTTTACTTCTATATTATGGTAATAATGTTTAATTTCCTCTAAATCATTCATATTAGAATGTCACTAGTCAAAATATCTTGTTACTGCAATTAGATTATGATTATTCTGACTTATTATTCAATATAATCATCTTGAAATGAACATGAATGCTTTGCATAGTATACTTATTTACTACACTTGCAAGTTATAAAAGATAGATATTAGATGATATTTATAATGTAAACGACATTGTTTATAGTATGCTTGTATGTGCATGCTTGGTTATGGTGGAACACCCCTTAATGATACTAGTAGAGGAACACTAATGTATTCGTGCGTGTAAAAGAAAAAAGATATTGAGATTAAAATACCTTAAGTGATACAAATTTTTAGATGGTTCATTCTGTGACGGTTGTATAGATATTAACTAATATTGATATAAACCCATTTGAATAACATGCTAAATATTTATTTTGATTTATAAAGAAGCTTAACCAACATGCATATTGTTCTTTACCTTTGTGTTATTGTAGTGTAGGAGTATGTGTATTCACTGACGCATTTAACTCACTAAGTGATTAAAGATGAGCGATAAAAGATAAAATAATTATAGAAGATGCGGACAACCAGTAACAAGGTAATATTAATTTTAATGCAGACAATCAGTAACGGGGTAAAATTAATTTTAATGCTTTAAATTAATTTTATTAGTGGCTCTTTCATTTGTTAAATTATAGATTAATATATAAAGTATAAATTCACATCGTCCGACCGTCTGTACTCGTTTTAGTTAATTCAAGCCTCGAGCCACGTTGTGCAAGTATTAAGTGTTAAAATAATCTCTTGATGATTTACGCGGGGACATTTTAGTCCTAGAATCTATAAAAATGCTAAATTTGTCTCCATACTCTTTTAATATGAGTTGTCATAGTCCACATAGAGGATTAATTTATCTCTCATTAATATATTCTAGGGACTAAATTGATAATTAATTGATTCTGAGACTAAAATGACCTCCTGGAAAGAGTTAAGATATAATTTTTATGCTTCTCTTCAATCTCATAACCTTTTGGTCGCAAAAAAAGCAAGCTAACTATTGCTACAACTTTCACTCTTAATTTACATATGTGGTTGACAGAATGTTTTCATGAATTTTTGTTGAATTTTCTATGACTTTGGATGCCTCCTAATATTGGCGGTGTGGATTTTTATTGTGTTTAATTGTTTTTTCTTGTTTGTTAATGTTCTGAAATAAGTTGTTAGATTAATAAAGGGCATTCTATTAATGCACCTTTGTGAGCTGCTCAATGATGATTTTGCAACCTAGTCTGCCTTTTCTTTTTGCATACTGATCCTTATTATTGGTTAATTTTTGTCATCCTCTTCTGCATCTCTTTGGCTTTAACTGATATGAACATAAGTATGCAGTAGAATATCTGAGATAATTCTCTTCTGCTGAAATGAAATTTACATGATCTACGTGTGAGTGAAATTTACATGTTCTACATGTGAACTGCTTCTAGGAACAGTTTGCAGGGATAATTATACCCACATTCATTTTGTTGGGTTGATTTGGTTTTGTCTCATTTACCTAACAATTCTATTTTTCTCAGGTTCGTGTTGGCTGTTTCTCAGAGATTCATCCATCCGCTTTGCCGACGCATCCACTTTTGAACTTCGTCTTTAACTCTTTGCAAGTACGCCTATTGCAGTTCAATCACATCTCTTTCTAAAATATTTTTTACAACTTTTTTTCTTGATTTAGTTAAATTTTTTTGCTTATGACAGGTTTCAACTTCATTTGATGTCTCCATTGAGGTTCTTATCGAGCTTGTTTGCAGGTATGAGGTAGGTGTTCTGTTGCTTCTAAAGTTTATGAATTACTGCTACCGAGTTGTGGTTGCCATGGTTGTAACAAAAAAATTGGTTAGGTTGTAGAGTGATATATTCTCAGTATTTATTGTGGTTACCTTTCGAATATTGGTCTCTCTTCATGGTTTAGTTTTGGTGAATTGTTCTACAATCAACTGAAATCTTGATGTTGTTTGCATTGATAGCCCTAGAAAAGAATTTCAATATTCCTAATGGTTTGATTTAGTTGATACTCTAAGAATAAGTTAATATGGGTGGAACGGCTGATAGCTAAAATATGTATGGGGCTTTTACATGCATACTATCAATTCCTATGTGCATACATATCTAACACCTAAACTTTATTCTTTACATTTATGCCTCTTAATTCGTATCACATAAAAATATTATTATTTTAGCTTTTAAAAAGTGAAATACACTTTTTCATGCATATGTAAGGTGGCGTATATGTTAAAAGTGAAGCTTAGGTGTTAGATATGTAAATACATAAAAATTGAGTGCTATGTATAAGTAAATGACCCAATAAGCATATATTGTTTTAGCTTCTATCTGGCTCAGTTTTGGAAGTTAATACATTTGTATTAAAGAAACAGAATGATATTATTATACTACGTAGAGGGCACTCAATCATATCTAATCTATTTTGATAGTTAAAAGGTTCATCAAGTGCTTTTATCATGTTTTTTAATAGATGCTTCTGAACTATTTCTTCTGTGGGCTTGTTAGAGATCCTAGAGTTTCATCATGCAATAAAGGACTTCTGCCTTTCATCATTCAAAGAAGTATGTTTATTTAACAAACCCTGTATTTGCATGAAGATAAACAATTTTTGAGAAGTGCTATGCTAGAGGGAGTGACACAAACATAAATTTCATGAATTATTTCTCCAGTGGGAATCAGACTTTTGCTTGTGTTTGTTTGTGTTTTATTTCCTGGTCATATGTTCTTATAGAGAGAATCGTTTTACAAAGAAACTTATTAGTGTTAAAAATATGAGTTATTTGAGATTGCCCTAGATGATTCTGTTGAAATGTCTAATTTTAATTGTTGATGTGAAATGGTGAACAAATAATAACTTATGAGTCCCAAGGTTTCATTCTTGCATTAGTATTTTGGGATACTATCAATTCCTTTGCGACGATTCTTCTGAGCTTACTTATGATATGAAGGATAAAAAAAAAAGAGATAAGAAAATAAAAGAAAAATAAGGTTATTAGAGTGTTTTATTTATCCATTAAAAATGAAATTAAAGAACCATAGTGGTGGTTCTATCGACATGACATTGTTGCGTCAGACGTTGATGACCTGGCTCGGGAACTTGCAATTATTAAGGCGGGAACTATTCGTTGGACGGAGTAAAACTATCTAACACTTTTATTTCATAATTTAAATGTATCGACATGACATTGTTGCGTCAGACGTTGATGACCTTGCTCGGGAACTTGCAATTATCAAGGCGGGAACTATTCGTTGGACGGAGGAAAACTATCTAACACTTTTATTTCATAATTTAAATGAAATCCAAAACACAAATAGTCATTCTAATTATAAAAAAAAATTAATTTAGAACCATTCCCATAAGTTATAATTTTACAACTGACATGAAATAAAAATTGAAATAAAGTACTTATCATTCCTCGCTCCTCAACGCTTGTACACGTACTCTCTAGGATCCATTTATCCTATAACAGGTTTTCATGTAAAATATTAGACCCCGCGACTAAATATTTCTAAATTATAATAATTATCATTTTAAAAATATTTTTGTAAAAACATTGTAATAAGTAAAAAGACTGTGATCGATAAAAAAGAATAACAAAGAAAATAAATTTTTGTCCACTTTTATTTATGTTACACTTTTCGTTATTGAGAATCATTGTCTTAACACATACTCTAAAAACTATACATTCATCTTTTCCAAACCCACAAAAAAAATTGTCGTCTTTTTTCATTTTCATTTCCATTTTGTGCACTGGTACATCTCTTCTTTAGCCATTATCATCCGAGGGTGATCAATATGTATGCATGTATGAATATTTATTTATTTTCTTGCATTTAATATTAAAAAAACATAAACTTTTTCATTTTAAGATAAATGTTGGAAACTGTAAAAGCTTGTGTAATTTCTTTTATAAATAAACATAACTAAAATAATATTTACCCAGATGTATTCCTTAGTCTAGTCTTTTGATGAACCTATAGTAACACATTAGATTTTGATTGACCTATATTCATTTTTATCATTCTTTCATGTTGATTCTAATTTTACTACTATATTATTATTATTTTTTATATATTTTTAATTAGCTATTTGTTACTTTATATGCAAATATATTTTGTTACAAATAATAATTTAGTATAAATAAATTATTTAACTTTCAAATTTTTTAGTAAAAAAATTTCCTAAACTTTTTTTGACATATTTGCTTTAGGGGCAACATAAGTATATATTTTAAAACTTAGGGTATTAAATTTTGCATTTAATATTCCATTAATTTATTAGGATATAACAATTAACTTTAACATTGGATTTCATACTTGAAATTTGTTTCCTTACCCCAAAGCTCTCTCTTCCTTTACTGATTAATACTTTTAAATTGAAACCCTAAAAAATGAAAAATAAGGAGTTATGAATCTAGACTTTAGGTTTTATGAAATTTAATTTAAATTATTTAAAATTGTTTACTAAAAAAATTTCTTGCGCCCTTTGTTTTTCTTGCATGTTTATTGTTTTCCTCGATTAGAACTTATAGGGCTCGTTCGAGTATCTCACGTATGCATGAATGTTTTTGTGGTTTGTCTCCTACTCCAAAACTTCAAAAACACTCGGGGTGATCATTTCTATATGAAGAAATCCTTCATGTATGCTGCTTGAGCGCGAAGGAGGGAGATTCCATTTGATCTTTTCCTTCTTCCTCTTTCGTTTGGCTAGTGCACGACTCCCTCCCTTCTTGATTCGTTGAAGACACAAGAGGAAGGCTCGTTCGAGCCATCAAATGCTCAGTTGAACGCTTCTGCAACTATACGGTAATCTCCTCCTCCTTTATCTTCGTCTTTCTTTCTTTCTTCTTCTTCCTCCTCTTTCATTTCTTGTTCCTCAATTTTTTCGTTTATCTTTCGCGATCTCTCTTTCTCTATAACTTCCTTTTGCTTGCCTTCTCTATGCGATGGGTTCAAATGAAAGAAGAAAAATAATCCATATATACACTCCGAGGGGTGGTGGGAGAGTTCTTCATCACAAAATGTGTTGTAATAGTAAATTCTTTTTTTATAATTAAGTTCATTAATTTTTTCATATGGTATTCATCCAGTCATTATCATGACAACTATGCAATCAGAACTCGCTCTAGGGCCTTGCAATGCCGTGGCGCTGCAACTCCATATATAGGCATTATGACCTTGCTTATGTATCACATGCCACATTAGCCATCATAATGGCTGCTGTCTAATCAAGAGCTATCCTTGGAACCGGTCGTTTGACTATGAGTACCTGTTGAACAACACAATGCCACAACGCTGACACATGACAACTTTTGGTTGCATCGTCTTAGGATCTACAATCACCTTCGATATCACCGTAATGCCACAACGACTTGTGAGATCTTAGTGTTTCTAGTTGTTAACGCCAGAACTCTATGGCCTCACGCCTCGGCGTTGGGTCTGCATTTACATATGTTTATCTCGAGTGTGTGTGTTTTATTTGATTAAGTGATTTTATCGCATGCTCACGATGTAATCTATCAAAAAGAACATAATAAATGACATCAATTACATAATCACTAAGAATATTCCCCATAGAGAGTAAAATATTAAGATCCCCATGTAGGGGGTACAATCATAACATAATATGCTACCCTACGGGCTCACAATATGTGAAAAGAAATCATAACAGCAAAGTAGGTATAACACTCTTAGGGGGAGGACAGAAGGTTAAAGACTAGCATCAATGTCCTCGTTATCATCCCTGTGATCATTGTACTTGCTGTTATCATCATCTCCGACCGTCACGCTTGACCATAGGTTAGAGAATTGTATTGGGGAGGCGGTTTGTAACCCGTCTGATTGCTTGCAAAGAACTGCTGGAACACTTGGGCCTGCCAGACTAACTGGCTTTGATGCTGGTGCTCTATGTGTGTGAGGTGGCTGCTGTGGGAGTCGGTCCTCTGACGGAGCGATGCTTTTTCACCTCGGATGTTCTTAATTTGATTGTGATTGGAGCGGGGACGAGTAGTGGAGACTATTGCTGGAGGTGTGACTAGGACAAGTGTATTGGGCCCTCTATAGCATCGGATGTTGGCCTCTATAATGGTGTGCATGGGGCCAACTTGCTCCTCTCTTGCGTTAAATTTTACCCAGGCTTTGATGCATAGGGCATGTATCAGGAAGGTGTCTGATGCCTACTGCCGTACTACTACGAGCCATGTAAGAAATTGACCCATGGATGATATGATCGACATTGATCGTGAGCTATATCTTGGTCACATAATTGAGCGCCGTGTGCTCCATCATCACCTCACTTAGATGTGCTTGGCTGTAACCCAACCAGGATGAAAGCGTGCCAGACTTTCGACTCCTGGTTGAGGGAGCTTTTGAGGAAGTGTATTATCATCCCCTTGCGCTCCCTCCACCAAGCGTTAGAGCTGACATGCGTCACGTAACTAAGAATCTGATTATAATCAGGGTTCTGATCTTGGAACTCAGTGTACTGAACGATAGTGTATCCGATCAAACTGTATATGCTATTGCTTCTCCATATCAAAGGCTACCCAGTACCCTCTTGACAAACTCCCCATTGTTTGTTGTTCCTTGGCGTTAGCCATAAACTCATGAACTACTGAAATGACCGCGGGATTAGGGGATTGAGTGACATTCCCCCAGCCTCGCCCCGCTATGGTGATTGTTACATAGTCGTCACGCTCGAAAAATTCTCATTCATAAATAATCCTGCGAAGGAGGGATTCCCCATACTTGGTTGTCGCTTCCCGGCTGATGAACTTGGACCTATCATAGGGATTCCCCATACTTGATTGTCGCTTCCCGGCTGATGAACTTGGACCTATCATACTCTTCTCCAGGCGTGTATGTCGGGGATCTCGTGCATCTAAGGGGCATCATTTCCTCAAATCACAACTTAATGCACTGGGAAAGGGGGAGAAAACTGCGGATATGCGAATAAATGGGTTCCAAACATATAAAACATTTGGATCCGACTCCTATATATGAACGCCATGTCATTAGGGTGCTAGGCAATAGCTCCGCGGTGCAAGACTGGTCGTCTTAAATTATATTGATTGAGCGTCATAGTGTCAATGTATAGAGCCGTGGTGCTACCCTTTGACCGAGTAGATGACATTCAAAATGTCAACGGTCATGTCTGAAATCGTATTCGGGTACCACGATGCTTGAACCTAAAGTTGAGACACCATAACAACGCTCTGAGTACCATCATGGACACGTGTCTTTTTGCCTGCTAGGTTGCGACGCTCTGAGTACCATCATGGACCTTTTTGCTTACCACGATGCTTGAACCTAAAGTTGAGACGCCATAACAACGCTCTGAGTACCATCATGGACACATGTCTTTTTGCCTGGTAGGTCGCGACGCTCTGAGTACCATCATGGACCTTTTTGCTTGCTAGGTCGTGACGCTATGAGCAGCGCCGCGGCACTGCTATAATCAGTGGCGTGGCACTGCACCCTATTTGAGAATTTTAGCAGCGACCATCTACGGGGCGCACGTATAGGTCCTTGAGGCATATAGAAGAACATATTTGCTTCCAAATGAGCTGAAAAGAGGCGCCAACAAACAGAATAAACACGCTGTTGGCAACTCTGATGGTTTCTAATTTGTAATTCACAATTTTTGGAGCTTTGGATAGAAGTTATTTTTATTGATTTTGATTTTTCATGAGTTTTTTGTTGGCAAAATTGGTGATCAATTGGTTTCTTAGTGGATTGGGGTGGAGGTTAGTGGATTTGGGTGGAGGTGTTACGCACTTGTATCTACTGTATGTGATATGCAGATTATTGAAATTTGCCTTGATTGAGGAATTAGAAATTGGTGTTAGCATAGTTCTTCTTTGATTACTTATTAGCATTAACTCTGTCATAAATAATTCGAAGCTACTTTAAATCATTACCTATGTGCCTTTTTCTTTTAACAGCTTTTTCTAAATTTTCTTTTGGTCTTAGTTTTTACTAATCTGATGCTGTATTTTTTTTGAAGGGTTTGCCACAAGTTTTGCTATCGAGGATACGGTATATGAAGGAAATACTTTTACTTCCAGCTCTTAAGAGCAGAGATGAAAAAGTAATTGGTGGTTTTGCATGTTTGATGTCTGAAGTTGGGCAGGCTGTAAGTGTATTTCTCTCGTTCACACAAAATTCTTTTTCATTTGTTTTTGATATGTTTTTTTTTACCCTTTGGAAATATATAATTTCTTTTTTAATGATTTAAGTAATTTATACAGCTAAGTGCCCAATGTAATACTGGGCTGTTTTAGGGACTAAATGTAAAATTTGACAAGGGATTGGTCCTTTTTTATGAACTTGCAGCTTTTTTTCTTCTTGGAAATTCAGCTGTTTAATTTTTCTTGCTCTAAAATCAGGCTCCAGCTATGATTGCAGAAGCCAGCCCTGAAGCTCTTATGCTTGCAGATGCTCTATTGAGGTAAATATTAATTTCAGCTTAATGTTTAGACGAAAAAAATAGCATCTTTGGAAGCTTTAATGTTCAATCCTTTGTAGTTTTTTTGATACTATGCAATATAGCCGGAAGTTCCAAATTTATTGTTAACGTTATTAACGTTATTCTCATTGTGAGACCTTTATTGTGTATCATTCTTGTACATTTTATGACAGTTGCGTTTCCTTCCCGAGTGAGGACTGGGAAATTCCAGATTCAACCCTGCAATTTTGGTAATTTATAATTATTTTCTCCATAAAAATGATACTTGATCTATACTTATGTTCTTTCAGAAACATATGCCTTCAATTCTAAGTTCATTTTATTAGTATTTCTGGGATTTTTTTTACTGGAAAATAGCCTTTCCCTATGTTTAATTTGTATTGAGGTTTTATGCATCTATCACACTGATGCATTAACTAAGGAACCGTTTGGGCAGCTTTTTCTTTACTTTGCCTCTTAAGACTGCTGCCAGATTTTGTTAGGCTATTGCTTTCTTGCTTTTTTTTCCAAAAGTTTTTGCGGCGAGTAGTTTTTACAGCTTGATGTTATAGTTTTAGAAAGACGATTGTATTACTTTTTTTAGAAGGAAAGATATTTATAATACTCATAACAACATTCAAAAAATTGTTTTTTCCATAATGACTATACGAGTATTTTTACATATAGATGCAACCTTCTTAAACAGAACCTTCCCTAAATTATGATTTTTTTCTACTCATAAATTTTTCTTTTCTACCATGTTATATTGCTATATGATCATGTTGCTTAAGGGTTTAATTTAGAAACTAAGAAGTTGTTCTGCATATAAATTTGTTGGCTTTGTTACAATTAGGCCACTTTTGGGATGAGTTTTAGGTTATTTCTATTCATTTTAAGTGATTTCTCAAACATAAAAAAAAAGTGATTACTTGAACAGAGTTCAGAAATTTATCAGATCCTTCTAAACTTCTTAATGTTTCTCCAAAAGATATTTGATTCAGCTAACAAAATGAAGCCTTAAAGTTTTGTCTATGGTGGAATGTTGTTAAGAATCTAAGATGATGCAGTGAATTTTATGGGCAGAATGGCATTTGTTGGCCCTAGTGCACTTTTAGTCTATCTCAAATTAATAGTTAAATCACTTTCGTTGAAAGTAATAAAATCAATCCCACTGTGTAAAATCTCATTTTTTAAACTGAAAATTGAACTAGCATTTAAGAATAGGGAAATTTACGTACATACCACACAATTTTTGTGTATTTACATATTTAACGCCCAAAGTTGAATATTTACACTTGTACAATGGTATAATAAGCTTATGCATGAGAAGGTATATTCCACTTTTAAAATGGTAGTGATGATATTATTAATTTTTGATGTGATGTTACAGATTTGAGTGGTATGTTGGTGATGAAGTACTCGGCTGAATTGAAAACTGAGATAATCTAGTAGTTATATCAGCAATATGTAATTATATTCCTTACAGTACAGATCTCTATTTCACCTGAATTGTATAAGTTGTTCACCTCAGTACCCATACATGTAAGCTATATTTATAGTATTTGTTGTGAAGATGTTTGATGGTTTTGATTGGCTGTGATTTATGTCGAGGACAGTGGGGACCTGGCTGCTAGCTATGTGGAGGTGACAACTGAGAATGCTGTTTCAGCTGGTAAATATGAATGTTTAGGTGTTAGATATGTAAATACATAAGAATTGTGTGGTATGTACATAAATGCTCGCTAATAATATTCATTTTATTATGAACCAACTGATTAACAACTGATAATTGCAAATTATAGAGACAAATTAGATCTAGGGCACCTAATCTTAGTGATTTACAATGTTTTTTTTTCCAGTCTGCGATGCACAATCAATATCATGATTTTAGAGACAGTGTGAGTAAATCTGTAACTAAATTTAGTTAAAAACACGCAAAGAAAAGAGACACCTGATCTATCGTGGTTTAGCCTAACCTGACCTTTATTCACCTCCAAGCCTCTATTTTGGATTATCCCACAAGTGCTTCCAAACTAGGAAACTTAAAAAACTTCTACAAATGGTATTTTTAACGGTTCAAGGCTACCCCAACCAATAGTGGTCCCTACTCAGGATACATTGGACACGCACTAGCAATGCTTTGCATTTTCAGCATGCAACGCCTTATTCCAAGACTCTTCTCTTTTAGCCACTTCAGCTCATGTGCAAGTCCCACATAAGGGAAAGAATATGAAATTGACTGCAAAATAGACTGCCAAGAATTCCTTAAGAATTTAACCAATTTTTAAAATAACCAATATGATCTCTTAAACCTTCGAATCTTGAATTCATAGTCTTGTCAAAAGAGAATGACTATTCATTCATGCTTCAAGCAAATAAAAAAGTTAGAAAACCTTTGGTGTTGGGAGAGATTGAGAGCCTTTGTCAAGAGAGTTCATTTTAGTTGGAATTATAAATTTATATATTTTGAGAGTTATTGCATGCATTAGTGATCATTGGTTTTAATGTGTTGCTTAAAAACCAATGCATATAATGTTTAAGGGAGTACTTCAATCCTCTACTATTTCAGTCATTAACTTTTGACTTTTCTGACTAAAGATTTTTCATATCTTGTGCATTAAGACAAACACATCTTCTTTTATCTGTGTCAAAATGTTTAAAACTTGCTACTAAAAACCTTGACTATTATAATATTTATTTGGACTTTAACGCCCCCTCCCCCCGATTGATTTTTGAGTGATTATAGGTATATTTTTAACAAGATTTGAAAACAAATTGGATATTAGATAAAACATTGCCTAAAGATTTATTTAACGATTTGGTGCAATTGTTACCAAAGGCCTTAACCCTGTTGTTTTTTATAACTCATGATATGAAAGAGAATTTCTGGTTAAGGTAAATTTCTAAACTTCGCAGTTCTTTACTTAAGTAGGTATAAATTAAGATTCTTTTGATGTGTTGTCTCAAGTTATCACGAACCATGGTTTATGTAGTCATTGGAGAAAGTTATTGGTTGGCCTATGCTGAATAGTGTTGTTAATGAGGAGTTTATACGCTAGAGTTGAAAGTTTTGAAGGGGCCAATTTTAAGTCGGCCATAATTAGTAAAGGTCTTCATGTCTTATCGAGTGCACCTCATGGCTCATAGTTCATAGATTTAGCAAATGAATAATATTAGGGTTTAAGTCAAAATTATAGTATAATGGTGCCATTTTGATCAGACTATCTAATTAAGGGTAAGTACCATGTCCTTTTTGATGTGATATTTTTGAGTTTTATTATACGAATATACTTGATATAACATTTGTTGTTTATGTGCTTTGGTTAAACATAAAGTTGTGTTCTTTGACAAATTAGTGTGAAGGATGGCTGAATGACTACCCTGAGCTTTCTTGATTTTTTTGATATTTTTTGTTTTCTTTATTAGTATTTTTTATAAAGGGAGGGGTAGGCTAGATTTTTACAGTTAACCAAATGGGTAATTATTATACTTTGAATGTTGCTTCAGATGAAGCAACGCTTCAAGTACAATAAGAGTTGATGCCTTGAATCATTCAAATGTGGGATAAGTATGTTTTTGGCACCTAGAGTAAGCCGGAAACATTTTGTTTTGCTATGAGTCTTCTAGTTTTTTCTATTTATTCTCAAAAGATTGAGCTTAGGTGAGTGCGGGCTTCGAAAGTCTCGATACCCTCTGGCTCTCTGCATTTTTTTTTCGTTTGTGTTGAGAAGGCATTGAGGGTTAAAGTTTTAAAAGGTAGATGAAATAGTAGATAAGACACTACTAAAAGATTTCATCCTCATTTTGTGAAGATTTTTTGATATTGGGTTTAAGCTTTCCCATAGGCGTAAGCCGCTATTGTTAATAATCTCTCTTGATAACAAGAGAACACTTTCGATTAAGGCTAGTCATTAAGAATTTGAATACTTAGTATATAATGACACCATAAAGAGTTATAAGTTGTTAAATGTATAAATGCAGCTTAAACCAGATAGTCGGGCAAATGATGATAAACCTGATTAGGATTCCATGGTTCCGGACTTCAGGGCCATCGTGATTCCTGTTCTACTTGGTCAGAAGAGGTAGTCGACCAAACCAGACTGAAGGAGACTTGTCAACAATCATAAGTTGCATCGTACAAGACACTTATGTAGATCTAGGGTGGATGTTTGCCTAGGGACAAATTTAGGTTGATTTTAGTCGACGAAAGATTTAGTGTCAATCAATTGTGCCATTATGATTTACAACTCAAAGAGTAGAAATCCATTGGGGAACAAAGGAGCTGTGACCATGACTATAATATAATGGTGTCTTTTGTCAGAAACTACCCGATTGAAGGGCTCTAGTCGCAATCGTTATTTTCTGGTGTCATTTAATGACAAAATCACATTGATAGAAGACTCGAGCCACAACCTTACTAACATGTAATTCATTTGATTGTTAATGTATTGTACACTTGATATGACATCAACTCTTTGTGAACTAAGTTCAATCAAAAGTTTATTACTCGACAAAATATTGTGGAGGGTGGATGTAGCTTGCTTTAAGTTTTTAATGATTGATTTTAACTTGGAAAGATTTAATTTATTTGCTTACGGTTTTAAGTGGTTGATTTTAATTTGAATATTTTGATTTGTTATTTTGATAACTTGATTTGAAAATTGAGTTTAAAATTGACTCGTATGGATGAAATCTTCTATTAACTCGACCATCATCGGTCTTTTTGGTTGTTTGATTTGAACCCTGTCAATTTTGCATCTTTCTTGTAAATGATCGGGTTTAAGATTGATATACTATTATATGTAAACCTTACCAACTCTATTTTGCTTATAGATGATCGAGCTTATGTATATATAATTTGAATTTATTCAGATATATTTTGAAACTTAATTTTGAAGATAGACCCCTATAGTTGAGTCATTATCGAAAATCTGGATTGCTTGGTTTGAACCCTTTCAACTTTACATCTTGCCTGTTAATAATTAGACTTAGTATTGACATGTGATTGTTTGTGAACATAATCAACTTTGTTTTGCTTATAGAAGATCGGGTCCATATATATACCATTTGAATTTATTCAAATACATTTTAAAACTTAATTTTGAAAGGAGACCCCCTCCGATTGAAATCTTCTATAAACTCGATCATCATCATGGATTTAAATCATCATGGATTTAATTGCTTAAATTGAACCTTGTCGACTTTACATCTTACTAATAAAAGATCGAACTTTAAATGTGAATATATGATGGAATTTGAACATTGTCAATTTTGTCATGCATATAGAGGATTGAGTTCGCATGTGTACTTCTTATTTGAAATTTTTCATATCAACTTCAAAATTTAATCTTGAAAATAGATTCCTCCTATTAAAATTTTTTATCAACTTGACCCTCATTAGGCTTTTAGTTGTTTAATTTGAACTTTGTCGACTTCTTGCTAGTAAAAGATCGAGTTTTTAACATGAACATATGATTGAATTTGAATTTTCTTAACTCTGTCATGCGTACAGAGGACCAGGTTCATATATATATATATATTTATTATTTGAACTTATTCATCAGGTTCATATATATATATATATATATTTATTATTTGAACTTATTCAAATAGACTTCAAAACTTAATTTTAAAAATAACCCATCCGGTTGAAATCTTCTATCAACTCGTCCATCACCTGTAGAGGTCCAGATAGGAAGCTCTCTACAAATGTCTCCACGAATGTCACAATGTAGTTTTATCCCTAAATAATACTGAATCTTGTATGGTAGATTCAGACAATGTCACAATGCCTAAATAATACTGAATCTTGTATGGTAGATTCAGAATCCTCTTTTCATGTGGCTCAACAAAAAAGTGTTTAAAAACTACACTTTGAGTGATTTAGGAAATGTGTATTTGCAAGATGATAAGTTCTACAATATTATTAGAAAGAGTGATGTGGATATCAAGTTGCCTAATAGAATAGTCTGGAATCTCAATGAGGTTAGACATGTTCCACATTCGAAGAGAAATTTGATCTTGGTGAGGTAACTGCAAGATCAAAGTGTGTGTTTACTTTCACAAGTGATTTGTAGAAGGTGACTAAATGGATAATGCGATGACTCAGGGTAACATTGAAGACATTCTTTACCTGATCAATGGGATGTCTGAATTCATTGTTGTAGTTGAAATAAAGATTGATGTAGATTTTTGACATTACATGCTTGGTAATACGAGGAAGAAAGGTATGAAGTCCCTACATTCTTAGAACAAGTTTCATGCTTTAAAGTTTATAGAGTTAGATTTTTGTGAAGATTGTATCTATCACAAACAAAGAAAATGTTACTTTCTCAAAAAAAATAGAAAGATGAAGTAAAAAAAACTGGAGTTATTGCATATTGATGTGTGGGATACTACTTCAGTTCAGTCTATAGAGATTTCTCAAACTGTTACTTTCATTTATGATCACACCAAAAAGTTATGGGTGTACTTCTTGAAATGTAAAATTGATGTATTTGATATGTTTAGAAAGTGGAAAATCATGGTTGAGAATGAGACATGCTTGAATTGATATGTTTCAGATCTGATAATGATGATGAGTATTGTGATCAGAGGTTTAGGAGTTATTGTGCATCATAATGAATCAGACATGTGCTTGCTATTCCAAGAACACCACAATAAAATAGTATAAATGAGCCCATAAATAAAACCATAACAGAGTATGCCTGAAGTATGAGGTTACATGCCGACTTGCTAAAATGTTATATGAGAATCCAATAAACCACCATGCTCGGATTGCTCCCTGGACCTGAGGGCCTGGAAACTCGATGCTCGAGCCTAGCACTCCGACATTGGAAACTGTTTGAAGCAGTTAAGGCATTTAAGCCTTTGATGTGGAATTTGGAGAGGTGTGTGAATGCAGACGACAAAACGAGCAGTGCTTGAAGGAGATGAAGCGAGTTATCTGGGTGTTTTTCAACGATATCTCTTGTGTGAAAGAGAGATGAGCGTTAGTATGCTTTAAGTGAGTAGAGAGGTTTGAGTGTGTTTTAATCTTTACAATTTTTCTTCATTTCATAGCAGATTTCTTGGTGTGGTGTGGCTCCGATGTTTTTTCCCATTTTCTAAATTTTCTATGCTAAATCCTCGTATACTTTGCGTATTTTTCTAGAATTATTTGTGTGCTTCTATTCAATTATTTTGTTTTGAATTTTTCGAATTAGTGCTCCACATTTATCTTAACGTCTAACAGTTTTCGCCCAATGACTTCATTAAAATAACAGTTACGACCAGGGCCTTCTGATCATGTGATTTGCCCTCAAATGACACTGTTATATTACGATCATATCTGTAGCCCATATGTTTACCAAAAATTTTTGGCTTTTTGAGTTGTGAAGTATAATAATATATTCGATTGACAGAGTTTTTTGTTAACTAGGATCGACTTAAATTTGTTCCCTCGAACAAACATCGACCCCCGATTTACCCATTGAACGACGTAATCTATAATTACAGATAAGGATTCACTAATCAGGTTGGGTCGATTACCTCATTTGACTTAGTAAATCAGGGAACCCGACGACCCGGGACGATGAAATCATGTGATCGTGATTTGGTAAGCTTATTGTGATAAATTTAACAATTCAAATCCAAGTTTGCTGCTGCTATATGCTGAATTTTTAATGTTTATTGACTAGCATTAATCGAAAGTGCCCTTCCATTACTGGGAAGAGTATTTAACCATAGGGGCTTGTGCTTATGGGAAACCACAAACCCCAAATCAAAATAATCTCACAAAATGAGGGTGAAATATATGGGTAGTGTCTTAATATAATGCAATTTGCCTTCTGAAAATTAGACCAGGTATAGCAAACACAAAAGCTCTCAACAACGAGAGAGTCCAAGGCGTTGAATTTTCGGAGCCCATACAAACAAGCATTCATAAATGTCTTGATGAGGTTTTGTGGATCTGGTGACTCCAAAATTGACATGGGAATTTTCAATAGATATGAATAAATTTGATCCAAAAGACCTGATTTTAATTTTGAAACAAACTTGTCAAATTAAATTAAAAGCGTGTAAGAGCTCTTTTTTTAAACTAAGATTAACTATATATTAAAGAAGGTTGAATAGCACATGACATATTCTAATTTATAAGAGGGAAGTAGTTCAACTTAAATTTGAGAAATGCAAGCTTTGATACATCTAAGTAAAGGGAGATACTTGCCATTTTAAGTGGAGGACAAAATCAGCTTCTCCGAATGGTCTTTCTGTTTTTCATACTTCTGTATATCTTGTCTTTTTGTTAATGTTTTTAATCAAGTAATTTTTGATATCTTGCAATGTGCCAAAATTTTATAAATGTCTAACATCCTTGTTGATGATCCAGGTGTAGTCTAGCAAGTTATCTTTTTGGCTTGGATTTGGGCAAGGCAGAAAGCACAAAAGTTGTTCTAGAAGTATTTTCTACTATATTCTTAACATTACTTGATTCACTTCTATTGCGTGCTCAGGTTTCACTCTTCCTCTCTTGGTATCCTCAAGTAACCTCTCTCCCCTTCTCCCTCCCTCACCGCCTTTCTTACTGATTTTCAAACTGGCGCCTCTCAAGTATTATCTTCTAGGTTCTATTTTTTATGCTTGTTGTGACATTTTATTAGGCGATAACAAACTGTCACTTCCCTTTTTCTCTTCTTTCTTTGGAACAAATTTTTTGGTTGGTTACATAATAGTGATTACATCACCTTCTATTCTAGCATTTATTGTCATATGCATTATTGACAGGAGTCTAAAATATAAAGAGAAATATACATACCTAGTGCAATTCTTATGTTTTATACATCTCACACCTAAAATTTTATATTTACATACATAAAACTTTATTGCTTTAAATCTATCTGTGAAAATTTATATTTCACTTTTAACAAGTTTTAATAGTGATATTTTTGATGTGTTATTAAAGATTTGAGTGCTATGTGTTTAAATATGAAAGCTTAGATGTGAGATATGTAAATAGATTGGAATTGTGTGCTATGTGTTTATTTATTTATTTACAACACATAAATAAAAATAAATGTTGTAAAGCTTAGATTTGAGTGCTTTGATAGATTGTAACATATCAAAGCCAAATGATATGTGTGATATGTGATAATAGCCATCACATATCAGCCATTATGTGAGATATGAACTTGCTATACTAAATATTTTATCATTTGGCTGGTAAATGCCCCAAATATTGAACTTGCTATACTAAATATTTTATCATTTGGCTGCTTGTTTGTACTAAAACAAGTTTTTATTTTTATTCTTGTGGTGATATCCATCCTCCGTGTGTAATGGCTGACTGCTTCACAACATTTATTTTTGTGGTGCTTTATTTGACTTTCACTCACCGGAAATTAAAAATCCGTTCTACTGAATTTTGACTGGAAATTTTTTGAAGGTTTTTTTTCTCGTAGATTCTCGTTCATCAAGTTTATTCAACAGTATTAGTTGCCGTTTTCTATTTTTTTAACACTTTTCTAAACTTTTCAGAACAGGATAAATGGCGAACTATTTGTTAGTTGAATATTTGCAACGAACCAATGCATTCAGTTGTTTTGTAACCATAAATAGTTTTCCGTGTGATTATGGCAAAGCCTGATTTATTCAATTTTTTTGCAATCATAAATAACAGGCATTTTGTATCTATTTGTTTCTCGGCGAAATATACTAAATATATTTTGAGTTCTTAACACCTTTTGTGAGAGGATCTGAAGTTAGGAGGAGGATTATATGCAATTTAGCTTACTGAATGTATTTTTAGCTTTTTTCTCCTTTTTTAAGAGTATTAGAAGTTAAAAGATTGGTCACATACATTTTGGCTGTTAATTTTTCGTTTTCCTCTATTCCCTATCCTAACGGATCACGTTATTTGACAGGTTGATGATACCGTATGCATTGTAAACAATGGAGCATTTATCATTCCAGATGGACTCATTCAATTTCGCACAAATTTGGAGGAACTTCTTGTAGATATCTGTCAACTTTTGGGTCCATCCATCTATGTGCAGAAGGTGAGCATGTATGTAGATTCATGCAGTCCTGCGAGATAAATATTTGAGGTATTTCCGTACATACAACCCAATTCTTGTGTTTTTACGTATCCAACACCAAAAATTTATTTTTTTATATTTATACCACCCAAATCCTTCATATCACTTAAAAAATAACACTTTTAACCTTTAAAAATTAAAATACACTTTTTCATGCATAGGTAAAGTGTTATATATGTAAAAATTGAAGCTTAGGTGATACCGGAGTTAACCCAACAACAACAGGAAAATCAATATTATTGCTGAGTTCAAATTAGAAATTACAACTCACGAAAAATTGAAAATGCAACAATTGGCAATACAAAACCATGCTAGGGTTAGATCCGGGTGTTTTTGGTGGTAATGATCGGCAAAGATTTGGGCCTCCTAATAGGTAGCAAAGGGTGGTTAGATGGTGGGATAGTGGGGCAGCATCAAATGGGGGATGCGGTGGGCTGTAGCGGTGATCTAGGGTGGCTAGATAGTGGTAGCGTAGCAAGGAAACAAAGTTGCAGGGCTGTTACAAGATGCAGGGCGTCTGAAAATTTGTAGGAAAGTGTTGGGATGGCCGAACATCGGTAGAGAGCACGATGAGGGGTTTAAGGGTCTGCGGCTGGCGGTAAGGCATTGATCACGATTCCCTGAAATGTTCTCTGTGGTGATTGCCCCATGCCTAGACTCGACGCCTTTGTCCTGCGATCTTCTATCATCACTAGAATCGATTCGATTGATGCTTACGTGCTGGCAAGGGCACTGTAATTGCGGATTTTGCAGAAGGTAGGACCATGCACTTACCATCTGTTGACCTCATTTTTGTGAGGTCTTAGTCTCCTACTCCCAGAACCCATAATCTAGCCTTAGAAGTTCCTGGTTGACCATCCTAGCAGACTAGTAATGGAGCCCACCTCCCGTAGAACTTCAAGCCACTTCTTGACTCATTTTTGTGAAGAACTCGCATGAGTAGTTCCCAGCACTCAACTTTTAGTTGCAAGGGCTAAGGACCAACATGTAGAGGGTCCGAAATTGAGTTCCTATAGGATAAACGGCCTTATGTGAACCTTTTGTGACTCGATTACTCGCAAACGCCGCAATTCACGCACTCACTGCACCACACACGACTTTGACTTGATTTGACTCGTCCGCCGGCAAACTCGCTCGAACGACCTCGGATGACGAAACGGACCG